TTTTTTTGTTTTTTGTCTTTCGCATGGGTCTGCGATTTTTCCTTTATCTTATTTCGGTCATAATGGTATAGGCTTGTGCGGTGGCGTGGATATGGATGGCGCTGTCTTTTCTGTGCATTCTGCTTGTCCTTGACGATCCCTTTCCTCATTTTCCATCTGAATGAGATAGACCCTCTTTGAGCGAGATACCAGAATCTAGGTTTTGATTCATGCGTTGGGATTGTATGTACGGGTGGAAGACGTCTGGTCTGCAAATTCTGAGGCATGGTTTGTCTTTATTCTTACTGTCATTTATTAGGTAGGGCATTGCCTTGCATATACTTGGTTTATTATAATTTAAATAAGAATTTGAGTACCGGGGGACTATCCTCGACTTCTTACGTAGTAGAGATCTAAAAGAGCGCTTTATCGGAGAACTCGCTAACACTGGAAATCACCTGACGGGCGGAGGTCTCGACGCGCCCCCGTGAGCTCATCTCCGTCTCGCAGACACGCCCGCCCTGGCAAATCCCGCCCTGTGTTCCGCCACTACGTCTGAGTAATTTGCGTCGATTGGAATTGAGCCCCTGATAATATTCTCCTCGTGTATACACATTCGAGTTTTTGCTTACAAGAAAACAAACATCGCTCAACCGAAAAACCGTGGTTTTCGAAATTCGGTCCTGCGCTGCGGCGCTGTTCTTGCGCTCGAACCGCCGACATGGTATCGCGAAAGCGAACCCGTTCCGAGGTAGACGCTGCTCAGGAGCAGCCACCTGAGGAGTCTGGTTTGCTGCACCGACTGCGGAATTGCTGGGAGTTTGCAAATCTCATGCAGTATATTGCGATCTTTGGCAAACCTATGAAGATTGATGAGGAGTTTGGAATTGAAGTATGCCATCTTACCGACCTAGCATCTATGAAATAACCTTGTTCTACCCTTCTTTAACTTGCTTGTCGCGTGTACCGGAAGCTAACTTCTTCTTTTTTCACACTACTTCGCAGGATTTAGAGACAGAATGCTTAAAGCCTGGTTCTTCTGAGAAACTTCTGGAGATTGGACTCTGCCTTCTGAAATGGATCTCGTCGCATCGGGGTCTCACGTACGTGATCAGGTCTTGAGCCCCTTGAACTTCCACGAAGTACTAACACGAGCGGCCACCTTCAGATTCGACAATTTCGACGAATACACGCGACGTCAGTATAATGCCAAAGCACCTCATATCCCTAACCCGTTCGGGCACGATGAAGTTCCCAATAAATTTTCCGAGTTCGATATCTTCCTGAAGCTTCGCGTTCTTCATCAATTGACCATATGGACTTTTTGGAATCCGGATCGCATCCGTGATAAGATGCCGGAGCAAAGGGAGGCGGACCAAACGCAATGGGTGAGCACTGCTCGGAATGGTCTCTTGCCTCACACTTGTTACTGATGTCATATTAGCGCATTGAGGAACTAGGTTACGATCGCGAAGGGCGCTACTATTATATTCTAGATGACAACCGGCTCTACCGTCGTACTGATCCTCCGCCCCCTCCTCCGAAACCTGCCAAGTCAAAGACGAAGAGAAAGAGCGCGCGTGCTGTGAGAGCGTCAAAGCGCAGAAAAGTTTCTGGAGCCGCTGCCGTGGAGGAATCCTCGGGCGAGGAAAATAATAACACCAATGGAGATGCCACCGAGGATCCTTACGGGAGAATGAAATGGGAGTGTATTGCAATCACGTTAGAAGACTACCGCCAGTTTCTGGATTCGATTCGGAAATCGAAGGACCCTGACGAGAAGATCTTGAGGGATCGCATTGAAGAGCAAGTGTTGCCTGTGATCGAGAAGGAAGCGGAGGCACAGGAGCGACAGAAGGCCAAACGTGAAAAAGAGCTTATGAACCTGCAGCTGCTCGCCGGTGCGAAACGGTCAAGCCGGCTTGCTGGAAAAGCTGAGAAGGAGCGACAGGATCGAGAAGCTGCCGAGGCAGCACGTAAACGAGAAGAAGAACTAGCAGCCGCTCTTAAGGAAGAAGAGAAAATCAAGAAGATGGAAGCCGAAAGACGATCGCGCATCATGACTCGTGAGCAACGTATCAAGGATCGGGAACGAAAGCGTATCCTACACGAAAATGAGCTGGAGCGGATAGCGGAGGAGCAGAAGAAACTCGAACGGGGCGAAAGCAGAACCTCTGAAAGACAGTTGAAGGCCGAACTGGAAAGACAGAGAAAGAATCTGGAGGATCTTTCTCAGGAAGATGAATGGATATTTGATTGTTCTGGGTGCGGTATGCATGGAGAAAACTTGGTATGTCATGTCGGCGCCGTCCCATGGGCTAAGACACCTCTACTAACTCCTGCATAGGATGATGGCGAGCATAGCGTTGCATGTGAGAAGTGCAATGTATGGCAGCACAGCAAGTGTCTTGGTATCTCGCAGCAAGAGGCCGAGCGTGACGATTTCCATCTTATCTGCAAAGATTGTAAACGGCGAGAAGAGGAGGCAAAGAGGCCGAAAATCCCGCCATTGAAGTTTCGTGTCGGCTCCTCACCGTCTTCTGCGGCTGCTGAAGCTGATCGGGAAGGCAGAGGCGAGGAAACTGCACATACTTCTATGCCATCGACCATGCCTCCAAACGGGTCACCGTCTAAACTGCCTATAATGCAACCTTCTCTGCCTTCTCACAACACTGCCCACCCTGTCCCTATGTCACCCGAGCGCCGCCCGCAATCTGCCCACGCCGCGTCACTCGGTAGCCCTCGAGCTCTCTTTTCTCCATCGAAGGGTGTCAATGGTTATTCGCCCTCTAGAGAAGCACCTCCGAAGCTACCATCAATTCAACAAGCAACACACCTGCCTCCCAACGGCCGTGTTTCTTTTAACGGTGGCTCTTTCCATTCATTCCATTCACAACGGCCCTCATCCTCCCACTCTGCTCAAAGCCCGACATTTCCCTCGCCTATCCAGAACCGTCCCTCAATGTCTCCTACCCAGGGCAATCGTGATGTTGGACCCCTTGCCGGGTTTCCACCTGCACCGCCATCAGACAACTCAGGCCCATGGACACCTTACAGGCAACACCAGGCTCCACGCCGAGGCAGTGCCCACTACGCTTCCTTCTCTTCAATCCCTGGTGGACACCCATCCCTTGCAGCTACGCCCAACGCTAGTCACTCGTCGCCCCCACAAAGTTCACATGGTGGTGTTGCACTCTCAGGGATCAGCCCCACCAAGCAGTCACCTCGCCCCGTTACTTCTGGGAGTATGACGGGTGCGCCAATCTTGCCCCCTATACAGAAACTTGAGCCGAGTCCCAAGTTGATGGGACGCAGTTCGCCTGATGCTCCCATTCCGCCACCAGTAAAGTGTATGACTCCTGAGCAAGAGGAGCGCAGACAGCGCGAAAACGCTTTGATGCTTCAAGCCCAGTCTCATGCTCCCAATGGTCAACATTCGGCGATGTCATCTCCGTCGCTTAACCGGATACCGCCTCTGGGACCATCTGCACTGTCGCAAAGACACGAATCATCGTTTCAATCCCAACCTAGTCCCAAGACGGAGGGGCAATAGAGAATCGGGTTTGGCCGTTATGCGTAATTATTTTACCCTCGCAGTATCCCTTAGCTCTCAGGTTTTCCCAATCGCTGGGGGCATCTGGCCCTTCGTGGAATATTTAGATCGGGAGATATATCGCTAAGTTAACCGGGGAAGGTTCAATCACGTCGGTTGACGTCTATTTTGGGTTATTGGATCTACTGGATCTCGATCGGCAAGGTTACACGGTCAGCGCAGGAGAATTTTGTGTGATGGCGAATGTCGTGAGACCGGAGAATATATCCCCAGCAAATGAGGTCGGTATCGGCATGGTACAGAATACCTCTGGAATTACATGTCCATGTCCTGCAGGACATTGCCCGCAACATGACACGGTTGTGATGGCAACCAATTCTTCTTGATCCCATTGTCTATTACCCTGGAATGATTTTCAGGCTTCGTTGGATTCCGTCTGCACGTCATGTGTCGACGGGACTATTTATTTTACTGTTCCCTTCTTACAGAGGTATTAATATTTGCATAACTGGATCGGGAACGACACAATGCGCTTTTTATCAAAAATACAGAAACACAACCCGGGATGGGTGGTCGGGCGTTATGCCATACATAGAGGGAGACTATTCGCAGCATATGAGTTATTTTCTAGGGGCGGGTGACATGGGTGATCTCACACGGGTCAAGGAAAAGTAATTTGCATGATATTAGACACCTACTATAGAATAGTAGAATACTATGAAATTGTACACTAAATCCTTTCACCCCCCCCCCCCCGTCTTAGGCTAATCATAAAGAATAATAACAATAGCAAGGACCCGGGGGAAAACCGAGGGCAGGAGTCGTTTGCCTACATCAACAGACGGGAGGAATCAGCCGGAGTATAAATCACATTGTGATAGCCCAAGACCTTGTTTAGTGTCGGCATATGCAGCCATCTAATACGCCAGTGGCATCCAACCTAGCCCGCTATCATATAAACAACCTTGCATCAGGCAGAGATCCGGATCAAAATTCTAAACTCGAAACCCGGATCGAGATTACGACCTGCTGACCAAAGCACATGTGCACATTTACTGTACATACATCCCTCCCTATCTTGTATGTAGTGTACGACGGAGTACTATGTACGTACAAACGACCGCAACAAACAAGCACCCAGTTCGAGCAAACAGATAAACCTATCTAGATCCTATGGAACAAACGCCATTCATGACTCAAGCAATCAGTCTAAGCCTCCTCCGCCTCCCTTCTCCCCCTAGCACAAAAACGAAAACGAACCATAACCCCCCGGCCAACCCCCCGGCCAACTCCCCGGGCAATAAGCATAGAACAGAACGTTAGACTTAGTAGTAGCAACCCGCTAAGCCTCACTCTCCACGGAGTAGGTGATAAACAAAAAAAAGAAAACCAAGAACAAAAAAGAGCAAAAGAAAAAACCCACTTCCCATGATAGACAATACTATACCATAAGCCGAACAGCAGAACGTTTCCAAATCCCGAAAATCAAAAGGCTAATCAATCATCCTCAAAAAATGATGCAGTTTGGAAATAAAAAGAAAAAATTATATCATGAGTCCATGTCAGTAACTTCAACACAGCTCCACAAGCGGCTCGCAACATAGCACCCTTGTACTGCAAAAATACAGATTACAATAGCATGAGGTGGGGAAATAACTATCCTGCCTTAGGGCTGCCCAATGAAGTGATGTTATGGGCTAGAGGGTGCAATTTGACTGGCGGGGATGAGAGGGGAGATGGAAGTTTGGAACTTAACCTAGTGTACTCCGTAAAATGAAGTTTTTATGCAAATTTTGAATTGATTTGGATTTGTTCCTTGGTCGGGGTCTTGGCTGCTGGGGGGTCTATTTCTGGTACGGGTTGGATACAAACTACTATGTGGTAAGTACCCTAGATTGGCTCAGTTACTTCAAGGGTACTGACTCCGAGGAGGTATGTCCATGTCAGGGCTCAGGGCTAAAAGGCTCATGGCTCAAGTGCCCGAATAGGGAGACGTGGGGCTCTGGGTCACGGTGCCCGTCTGATGGCTTAACCAAAATGGGAAAGCCGGACGCATGGAATATCGCTGATTGGACCAGTAAGCTCACCCGCTGAATCAGCGCTGTGAACTCTAACAACTGAACGATATCGGAGGTACCGGACTGATCTTTATCATGAGTTTGGGTTTGAAGAGCGGCCTTCTTTTTGTGGCTCACGGATATGCTCGGAGAGTTGCTCTCCCTAAGAGAATCTAGATGGTTGGAGATTGGGGACGCGGGCTATTGTGAGGGGCGGTACCGTAAATTGGAGTAGGACGTAAGGTGTCTCGATCGTGATCGGAACAACGGGCGTTGTTCCTGATCGTGGATCATGATCCTTCGGGAGTTTGGTGCCTAATTGTTGTTGGTTGTGTCGACTTCGGGAAAATGGATTACAAATCTCCTTTTAGTATGAACTCCGAGTCTTATCTCCGTATCCTATCCAAAACTTAATGAAGGACATTGAATCAGTGCGATAAGATACTTTGACTTAAGGAAGGTAATTTTGTGGATGTCTTGTAGCTTAAGGGAATGTGTTCGACTTGGCGTGATTTTCTTTTTTTTTTTTT